CCAATTTCAATTCTTCCCATAATAAGTAAAATATTTGAAGGGAAATTTTTACTCAAATATATAGCTTTTTGAATAAACATGCGCTTCTGTCTAAATTTCAATCCGGGTTTAGACCAAAACATGGAACCTTAGGTGCTCTTATACAAATGTGTGATCAATGGCTACAAGACATGGATGAAGACAAAATAAATGGAGTTGTTTTTCTTGATATATGTAAAGCATTTGACTCGGTGAATCACGAGATATTATTGGAGAAGCTTAAAACCCAGTTTGGAATTCACGACATTGAATTAAAATGGTTCCAATCATACTTAAGGAATAGAAAGCAAGTGTGTTCTGTTAATGATCCAACTTCTTCTGCAAGAACAATAATATGCGGAATTCCGCAAGGATCCATACTTGGTCCATTATTGTTTTTGCTATATATTAATGATATGCCTGATATTCTAGAAAGGACAACCCAATGTCTTTATGCCGACGACACTCAGATATCTTCCTCTTCGCATGATTACGATACATTGATTGACAATTTGAATATGGACCTTTCCAGTATTCATAAATGTCTTGCTAAAAACAAACTAAAATATCATAGGAAGAAAACAAAAGTCATGTTTATTGGATCTACGCATAATCTAAATCATAAAATAGGAAATAGAGCCGTTGAGATTAACAAAATCCCAGTCCCACAAACCAATACATTTAAATGTCTAGGTGTAAATCTAGATGAAAAATTAAGTTGGGAGAAACATATTGATTCTGTATGCCATAAGATTAGCGCTGGAATAGGAGCAATAAAAGAATAAAACCTTATGTTCCACACAAAACCTTACATGATGTCTACAAAACATTAATTCAGCCTCATTTTGATTACTGTTCTCCCCTGTGGGATAACTGTGGTTTGGGACTTCAAGACAAATTGCAAAAATTCCAAAATCGAGCAGCAAGGGTGATTACCGGAGCTGACTACGATGTAAGATCGTCTGAAGTCCTAAACAAATTAGGCTGGGAAACCCTGGCTAGGAGACGAGAACAAAACAAGCTAGTATTGATGTATAAAGGCTTGGGGAACCACACTGCGCCAAACCTTAAAGATCTTTTTTCTCGGAGAAATGCATCGCAGAATATTTATGATTTACGCAATAGCGAAACTGATCTCTCGTTAAAAAAACCGAAAACGGAATTTCTAAAGAAAACATTTGGATACAGTGGAGCAATTCTATGGAATAGTCTGCCGCAAGATGTCAAGGCGGCTGAGTCAATTACGTCATTTAAAACAATGGCGAAATTGCATTTAAGCAGATGATAAGCTAATTTCTCCAGGACCAAATGATGGGAGGACAAAATAGATTGTGGGCGGGAGGGGGGTTAGTTTTGCGTGAGGGTGGGTGGGTACTTGTTTAGGGGGTGGAGGTTTGGGAGGAACATGACAATATTTTAGGGTGGGATTCTTACATATTTTGTTCTATATATAATTAACATTTAGCTCTTTGTGTGTATACGCCCTTCGTGGAAACCAGTTGTAAATAATTGTCGAAGTTAGCGTATTGAAATAAAGTTTTACATTACATTACATTACAACTGAGCTACGAGTTCAAGTCTGTTCGAGTGTGCGGTATTTCGGAACTAGGTTTAGTACCTTCGATACCAATGTATTGTATGATATGATATTTTTGTAGCTCAGTTGGCAGAGCATTGGACTTGAGTATCCCAAAGGTCGCGGGTTCCATTCCCACCGTGGTCCGGCTACCTTTTCAGCCTGCCTGGTGTGGATACAGAGGAGGTTGGACAGCAGGCCGCAAAGCATCATGGGTATCGAGCGCCTAATTCCGCGCGTGGCTTCATTGACTGTTGACTGTCGAGGAGTGAACATCTCTCTGACTAAACCAATATGGAAGCTTTCGAACGACAAGAGTGTCAGGCTGCGATACTTTGTGAAAAGAAACAGCATGTTATTGCTGTATTGTTGCGATCATCATTATGGCTTGTGTTTTACTATATCAAGTTTACCTTTTTTAATTTAAATCGCATGGGACGTGCTGTCATTTTAGCTTTATAAATAATCCGTCTGAGAAAAGAAATTGTGTTTTAATTTTATATTCCCAATATCGAGGCTCTTCTTTCAAAGTTGGATGGCGTTAAATCTCCGTGTGTCATCAACGTGAAAACAAGCGCAGTATTTAAGGTTGGTATACTACAATGCATTACAGTTATCGTGTTATTTTATAGTCAAATTTCCGCTTTGTTGTTTTTATTCTTGTACTGTAATTTTATAAATACACTGTACAAAATTATGGCGTCATACTTGTGTTTATAATGCCTCTAATTTGACCCTATTGTGTGTGTATATGTACTGTGTCACTGTGATACATATGTACATGTTTTGAGTTAAACGAATTGTTTAATAAATTTTTGCCGAAGTATGATACGTGTTTGTATGGATTTTTACATATATGTGCACTGTGTATAGTTTATACATTGGTTCTCAGATGAGTCTGAAGGTATATTGTTATTCAGTTATTTGTATGTATTGTTTTATACATTTTGCTGAGTATGATGCCTGTTTGTATCTAGTTGTGGATGGTTGTGAGAATATAATTTTAGAGGTTACATGTTTGCTAATTTTAGAGATGATAATGTATCAAATAATAATTTTCTTGTTACGATTTTTGTAGAAAGAGATTTACTTGAGTGGTTGGTTGGTCTTGAGCCTGTTCAGGATGGATATGATAATGAAAGAGGTGATCAAGGTGATAGGGCAGAAAGTGATGACGTTTAAGTGAGAAGATGAAAGTGATGAGGAGGAAATCGCCCACGCTGTAGCATTCAAGTGCATCGGTGATGCTCGTGAGAAAAACTACCAACATCATTTGGAAAATTAAATTAAGACATAATACCTCACTCTTCCTGAACAAGATAAAACAGTGAATGTAAGAATATGGCCAGCACCATTGAATCCAAGGGACCAAGGTGCAATAGGCAATTCCAGGTTTTAGTTTATTTTATTAAACTTTTTCAGCATAATCAGCAATATGATACCTTACTGCCTGTTGCCCCCTGCACACATAAATTAAAAGTTGGAATTGCCTTTGACTAGACTATGGAACTGGATGACAACATGTTGGTTATATTGCTTTTCAACTATGCAAGTATTTGCACCCACTAATTGCTGCAGATGTCGTGGATGTCTATTGTCTATGTTCAGTGTATCAAGTATAGGGTTGACTTTTTTAATTAAAAAGGGTGGATTTTTTATTTTTTTTTAAAGGAGGGGTGGAAACCTTTCAGGGGGGGGGGCAAGCAGCACTACTGAGTGAGCTTTTTTACAGGGGTTTGGCATTAGGGTTAAAGACTTTTGAAGCAAAATTTTGGTGGGGTTGAACACTTTATAAGATGGGTTAGAGAGATTCTAAGGGGGGGGGGTTAACCCCTCCTAACTCCCCCCCCCCAGTAAATCCACCCATGATTTAATCCAAAAATTTTCATAATGAAACCTGGTGAGTGGAGACTCATTGGTGGTAGGAAAAAGCATGAGTGTATGTTGACAGATGTTTTTATATAATAAATAGCAATTAGCTATGTTTAGCAAGTTATTAGTGCATTTATTTCAATTGGCTAACTTTTTTGTTTTTTTCCAGCATTTTTACAAACCATATGTTATAAATGATATAACTGGGTATATCTAATTAAAACAATCTGTCACGTACACTCATGCAAATAAGACTAAGTACATAAATAACAACCTCGTACCCAGGGGAGAAAAGACCCTGGTAGATGCTGGTCACATGATCTGCTAAAATCTAGCAGATTTTTAATTAGCAATCCAGGATGAGGTCAATAAATATTTGATATTTGGATGATTTTTATATGTTAATTTATAATTTGCATTTTGTATATGATTGTCATAAAGGAATTCAAGATAGTTAATTAGAAATCTGCTAGATTTTAGCAGATCATGTGACCAGCATCTACCGGGGTCTTTTCTCCCCAAGAGGAAGGACTCTGGGTACGAGGTCGCATAAATAACTGTAAAAATGTACTTTAGTTAATGAATAATTTATCCATACACTTGATCTACTTTGTGAGTATTTTTTCCAATTAAAATTGATGCATCAATAAAACAAGATGATGTCTATTTATATATTTATTAAATTGATCTGAGATGCCAACAATAACATGCTACTTAGGGAGTGGTCATTATTTATGGGGGGGGTGGTAAATGGGAGGGGGGGGCAAACAAAGTTTTACCCAAACAAAGTTTTAACACAGAGAAGGGGGGGGGGGTAAAAAAGTTTTTGAACTTAAATACCATGTCTAGAGTTCTGGTTTCTATAATCACAAATAGCAAAAAAGAAGACTCTGAAAATGCCATTTCCAATGATCTAGAGACTCAAAATTTTCAAAATTTCCCTGCTCTGTGCCAACCATGGTAGTGCCTTGTGGGAGTGGTGCCCACTAAGTTTAACAAGCTTCCTACCCCCTGAGTGACCCAGCTGTGGTATTTACATAAACATACCATGCAAGTACACTTAACTGATCAGATTTGGTCTATCAAAGCACAATGTAATGCTGTATATCCAAAAATCTGTTTCAGAAAATGCTCACATTTCAGTCCTGGGGAAAAATACAAAAAAATTTTCCCCAGACCCCCCCCCCTACTAATACATACAATACCACACCAAACTTTTTGTCACCAACAACCATCTGTCATCTCTCCACACTCAGTATAGTATGGTCCCTTTTTGTAGATGCCCACCCCCCAGACAAGTTCTTAAAAAAAGTGTTCAGCCCTGTGTTCAAATCATTTTGCTGTATGAAGATGGGCCATGGGTTAGGGTTATGGTAGCACAAATGTTGCATTGCAGTAGTAACACATAATATATATTTTTTAATCATATATGGTTGAATCATATTCACCAGGGTAAAACATCATGAGCTAGATTTAAACAGATTGTCCTAATATCTAACTTTACCTGCAATGCACACCTGTTTCATTGCTGTTAATTTTTCAATCCACACTGGGGGGGGGGTCAGAAAAGTTTCTACTTTTAAGAGGGGGGAGGCACAAAAAGTTTGCCTTCAGTCTGGAGAGGAGGGGTCAACAAGTTTTTAATCCTTATTTTCCCCATTTACCAACCCCCCTCCCCATAAATAATGACCACTCCCTTAATTTGTTTATATTGGCTTATTGCATTTTTTATCCGTACACCCCCTGTTGAGGACACACGGCGTAAATTCTCCTACCCCCTGGATTTCCAAGTAATTTTTTGTCAGAAGCCCTGGAAAAATGTGGTTTGTAGAAGGGGGTGCCTGGAATTCCAATTGTTTTTAATCAATGACCCTTGGAAATTCATTTTTTTCCGCATGACCCCGGAATTCCACTGTGAATAAGTTGATCTCCCCTGGATTTCCTTGCCAGTTTTTGTCTCCATCCCTGGAAAAATGTGGTTTGTAGAAGGGAGTGCCTGGAATTCCAAGCACTTTCAATCAATGACCTTTGGAAATGCATTTTTTTTCCGCATGACTCCGGAATTCCACTGTGAATAAGTTGATCTCCCCTGGATTTCCTTGCCAGTTTTTGTCTCCATCCCTGGAAAAATGTGGTTTGTAGAAGGGAGTGCCTGGAATTCCAAGCACTTTCAATCAATGACAGATCGAAATGCATTTTTTCCGCATGACTCCGGTATTCCACTGTGAATAAGTTGATCTCCCCTGGATTTTTCCTTGCCAGTTTTTGTCTCCATCCCTGGAAAAATGTGGTTTGTAGAAGAGAGTGCCTGGAATTCCAAGCACTTTCAATCAATGACCCTTGGAAATGCATTTTTTTCCGCATGACTCCGGAATTCCACTGTGAATAAGTTGATCTCCCCTCGATTTCCTTGCCAGTTTTTGTCTCCATCCCTGGAAAAATGTGGTTTGTAGAAGGGAGTGCCTGGAATTCCAAGCACTTTCAATCAATGACCCTTGGAAATGCATTTTTTTTCCGCATGACTCCGGAATTCCACTGTGAATAAGTTGATCTCCCATGGATTTCCTTGCCACTTTTTGTCTCCATGCCTGGAAACTTGTGGTTTGTAGAAGGGAGTGCCTGGAATTTCAAGCACTTTTAATCAACGACCCTTGGAAATGTGTGTTTTTCAACATGGCTTTGAAATTCCACTATAAATAAGTTGATTTCCTCTGGATTTCCTAGGAAATTTGTGGTTTTGGAAGGGCATGCCTGGAATTCCAAGCGCCTTTTAATCCCTTGAGTGAGATGCCCCGAATTATAGAATAGAATAGAATAGAATAGAAACTTTATTTCACGAGGGAAAGCACTGTACAGAAATGTTCGTTTACCAGAGTCAGTACGCGGGAAGGGGGGTTGAAGGTCATATGCGCAAGCTCTAGTCAGAGCCCGTTGTCGAATAGAAGATAAGAAATTTAAACATTTGCTTAAATGAAGATGGAGCACTGGGATTTGTGAGAATGTTAATTAATAGTAAGAAAAGCTTCCTAAATTTAACAAGATCAAAAATACATACACAGTATGACGTCATAACGTGTTTACACGTTATTTGACGTACAATGACACAATGTAAAGGCCCGGTCACACTACACAACGATAACAATACGATAACTTGTATACACGCGCTGATTGGTCAAAAAATTTATCGTTATTGTCGGACTGAAAAAAAATCGCTTTGGATGACCGATTGTTTTCTCATGGACACCAACAAATTTTTTGACCAATCATCGCGTGTTTATAAGTTATCGTGTTGTTCTCGTTGTGTAGTGTCACCTGGGCTTAATCCATGATATTTACAAAAAACAACGCACATCATTTATCCGTGAGCTGTGATTGGCTGTAAGTTATTACATCGCAAGGAAGGCATCAACCATGCGTCTGTCTTCGGCATAGTACAAAACCTGGACTGGATTAGATTAGAATGATTTTTCATTTTTTTTCTCTCTGAAAAGTTTTGATTCTCGGATAAACGTTTACCTCAACTGATGATCTCAATTTATAAATGGAATGAAATAATCAAGTTACAATTTATCATTTAGAAATAAATTTCTTGAACAAATATTACTTGTTGAAAACAAATAGTATATAGCTGCCCAATAGAAAAAAATACCAAAATAGTTCTTTTTTAACAGTTTATTATCTGTCGTTGCTATAGCAACCATGATGATGACGTTTCAACATGGCCGATAATGTGATAAACTAACAACTCGGAAAAAAACTTTATTGTAAAATAAGTGTTTGGTTGATTGAAAAAAATCATCAATCTACAAAAAGCCCTTCTATTTTTTTCGAAATATTTATACGATTCTCATATAAAAAAAGTATAAAAGTCAGTTTATAAAAAAAGTCAGTTTATACAAACATAAAAAAACTACAAGAAAAATGAGACGAATTTGCTCGGTGGACTGCGTTCTAGTGTAAAATTATTCCCTTTGTTGTTATATTCTCCGAAATTTGTTCACTTGTAAAAAAACCGCGACTGGAAAGCAGCTCTAAAGAGATTTCACTCCAGTAATAAATTGAGATCATCGGTTGAGGTAATATATATGCATTGTAATTTCCGAGAATCAAAACTTTGAGATGCAAAACGTTTATATGGAAAAAAATAGTAAAAATCAGTCCAGTCCATTTTTGCACTTGGACTCAGATGCAGAACTAGTCTGCGAAAGCATACCAGTTCGCAGACTATTTGTTAATTAACAAGCTTATTTTTGAGAATCAGCAAAAGGGGAGGGGGCAAAATTGTTGGCCCCCATGCATGGGAATTACGGTATGTTCTCGTTTCTTGTGAGTTTTGGGTTGTCTTTCAACAAGGCACTCTCTGGGGCGTCAAGTCGCTGGAAGTGGAAGTCACACGCAGCGTGAGTCAAAAGTCTGTTGCCATCCTGGTTCCAGAGGCTCTTTGCGAGGCGAATTAAAGAAACGAGAGACCACATCGGTTGCAAATCCCACTTCCACACTTGATTATGTTCAGAATTTGAATCTTGCATGTGATTGGCCATTTGTAAAAATATGTCAACCGGTTTGGGAAATAAACATTACTGTAAGCTGATTATAGATATTATAGCTATATTTAGCTTACAGTAATGTTTATTTACATACTGTATACACAACTACTGCATGTATACAACATGTTACCTAACTCACAACACAACTTATAATATCGACAGAAAACTAGCTGCTCGATGGGGCGTTGTGAAAACCCGGAATGCCGGAATATCACGGAATATGGCGGAATATCACGGAATATCATGACATTTTCTCGGAATATACCGGAACATCACAATATTTTCCGATGGTAGCCATGCGACTGTTTATAAATATTGACGTCTGACAACCGCATCTTTTATTACAAAAGTTATGGATTTTTCCCAAGTAACAAACAATAACTCTGTACTGGAAGTTTTATATGTTGTTTATATCATTACGAGTGTTCACCAAACATTTTGAATTAATATGATTAATTCTTTCTGAGTTACAGCGTCTTGAAAAATGAAAATGCTGACGTCAGCATTATTTTCGAACGCCTTCACTGACTGTATTATACACAAAATTTAGTTTAAAATTATTGCTTAAGGTTAAGACGAGACTTCTTACCTGATATAAACAAGAATTTAAACATCTTGGCTCAAACTTGCCTTTATTTTAGCATTTGATTTTTGGATAAACGCTAAGCACTTATATAGCGAGTTTGGACCAAGATGTTTAAATTCTTGTTTATATCAGGTAAGCAAGAATTTTTAACTAAATTTTGTGTATAACACAGTTCTGAAGGCGTTCGAAAATAATGCTGACGTCAGCATTTTTATTTTTCAAGACGCTGTAACTCAGGAAGAATTAATCATATTGATTCAAAATTTTTGGTGAACACTCGTAATAATGATATAAACAACATTTCAAACACTCATTAATAATTCATAAGCTTATTGGCAAATCATGTCAACCACAATATGTCACGTGCAGTTGGTTTAAACCTGATAAAACACTCCTAAGCAGTATTCTTTATATAAACAATACTAATAAGGCAGTATATCTATTGAATTTGTAGTCGTGTTTGAAGCCGTTTAATAAACTCGCAGGTCGTGTTTTATTAGGTCTAAAGCCACTCTCGCTTCGCGCTAGTGGCTTTAAACCTAATAAAACACTCCTGCTGTTTATTAAACAGTACATAAAACTTCCAGTATAGAGTTATTGTTTGTTACTTGGGAAATATCCGGATCCATCACTTTTGTAATAAAATATGTTGTCAGACGTCCATGTTTATAAACAGTCGCATGGCTACCATCGGAAAATATTGTGATGTTTAGGTATATTCCGGGAAAATGTCGTGATATTCCGCCATATGCCGTGATATTCCGGCATATTCCGTGATATTCCGTGACATTTCGCCATATTCCGTGATATTCCGGCATTCCGGGTTTTCACAACGCCCCTGCTCGATGAGTACATTTCAGTGCTATATATACTTTTGCTACTATTCATGTTCAATTTACAAGAACGCAAATAACTTTAATGGCAAAATCTGGCTACTCATGTCTATATACCAATATAAACTACCAAATATAAACAGTCAAATTGTAGTATCCTTTCTGGGCTAGAATTTCAGCCTAGAGCCATGGAGCTTCAGAAGCCTGAAAATGTTTAAATTTTATCCATACAGATATAATAGACATTATAAAGTATAAACGCTTGTCGGTTCAACAGTTTTGTAAAAAACTTGATATCGTTAACCGAAATGTTATTTCAGATATTCAGATAACTGCGACTTTTTAGCACCCAGATTTTTTCGTAGCGTATCTTGGGCTTTGCGAAGTTCGCTCATCGAAGAAATCAGTGAAGTTTTCGCTCTTTTAACATTTCTTTCAACTTCTGCTCGATTAACCAAGTCTGGATTCCGCTTCAATGTTTGCGACAAAGAACCAACAGTTTCTCGCAAACTTTGGGTGCTTTCAGTTGCTTCCCGTACTCTTTCAATATTCTTCGATATAGTTGCCTTCTTCATAGTCTTAGGGGCTTGCCAGTCATCTGCTTTTTCTGCAATAATTTTCTCCAATTCTTGAACATTCTTTGTTTCTGCTTCAAGAAGAGAACATCGTTTAAGTTTCCAGCGCTCGTTAACTTGCTTGTACATTTCCTTTTTGCCAATAGAAGTGTCCTTTGCCATTTTTCTAACTTCCTCGTTCCAAAAGCGACGATATTCTTTCTCACTTCCTTTTCCTTTTTCTATGTCAGCATTACTATAGATTTTTATATTTCTCAATTCAACATCAGATAGACGGCGAAGTTGTAGGACGTTCGATGTAGATGTCACTTCAGTTTCCGACGTAGATAGACTAGATACTAGAGATGTTTCAGCAGATGCTGCAGACTTTAATGGCACAGTTTTGTCAGTTTTTGAGCGATCGCGATGATTAACGTATTCAGTTCCTGGATTACAAAAGGACACATGTACCATCAAGAATGATTTATCATTGCTTGGTAATCCGATGTTTCGAAGAATGACTGGACTTTCTTGTGATCTGGATAATTCTACTTCGTGGTGTTGAAATCATTCGACGAAATAATATCAGCAACCTGATTCGATATCACGTTTCGCATTTCGCTCAATAATATATCAGGTTCTACATCAAACAAAATTGCTACAGCTTTTTCAGGATGTTCTACGTCTATCAGTTTTACATCCATGTCAAAACATTATAAAGAACAAACGTGCTGTATACTTATAAATTATAAATGACGTGTTTACATATTAATTAAGTATAGTACAGTACTGGGTCATTCGATTAGTGATCGGGGGGAGGGGCGGACGGGGAAGGGAATTTTCAGCTTGCACAAATGTTTTGGCCGTCTGCTTGTGTTGGAATTTGTTGCGGAATTTTAAAGGTAAATATTTTTCTTTGTTTTCCTTCTTTGGCTTTGCACATTTTTTTTGTTTGCTTTCCTTTGCGCGAATTTCTTGCCCCCCCCCCCACACACACACACTTTTCTAATATTCCGCCCCTTTATAAACGTCACACCCATCGTGATTGTTTTGGGAATTGACATGTCAGACCAAATGTTAGACATGTGTTTTTTACTGAAATCTATTTCATGCAATTTTTCATGTCAAATGTCGTCATCAATATCAATGTACACATCTTCTCAAACTTCTGACAAGCCTGTCGCTATATAGGTCGGGTTTTAAAAAGGTTTACATGGAAAGATAGATTTTTATCGAATATTTTTGCAAGCATAATTTGCTTACGCCGACAAACTATATATTTTATGCAGCGTGAGAACCAAAATTTAAACTTAAACACGGTACAACGACGTATTTACTGTAAAAGGTCGAAAACATTAACTCACACTGAACTGTTCTCGTGAAAATCAAAGAAAGTCATGTGTGCAAGAGTAACTTTCGTTGGCCAAGATGGACAAAAATATGGATACCTGGAAAGTGTTGACGAGACACAGACACTATCGCACATTCGTGCAAGTGCGTCCAAGTTTCTCACCGGTGAGACACTACCGGAGAAATACGTGTTTACTTGGAAGAAAGCCCCAATCTCACCTCAGCAAGAAGAAATCATTAAACTCTCCCGATGTTCTGAGGTTGTTTCACAGCAGCCCAGAATACTTAAATTATACATAATTGACAAAAACAATGGCAATTGTTCTTCACACGTAAACACAGTCACGTACACCGGCCAATCTAAAGCTGAAAGTTTGTCAAATAATGGAAAGGTTGATGAACATACAATTATGAAATCAGGATTAAAACTGTTTGATAAAAATGAAATAGAGGATCCGAAAATACCAACAATCGAAAAAGAAAGAAGAATTTTTTGGAATTCTCTAGTTAATTCTATTTGTTCTCAGAAACAGTTCAAAGGATGGAGTTTGCAAGCACTGAACGGTTTGATTGACACTGAGTGGACGCTGCGGAAAACAGAATTATTGCAGTTAGATGCAGATCAAGCAATAGATAAGATTAATAGCACCCAAAAAGCGAATTCCCACAAAACTGATGTAAGAGAGAAGAAAATTCAACAAATATTAGACCGGTTGTTATTGCTTGACTTCCAGCGAAAAAAAGTGTACAAGAAGATTGAAGACCTGCATGAACAACTGAAGCATTCAGCAACTGATCATACCAAAGTGCAGGACCAGATAACCCTCGAGGAAGATAACTTAGATAAAGTTTTTACCGAGCTTAAATCATGTCAGTCTAGCCTACAACAGAGTATTGCCAATTCCAGTAAAACAATTGAATATTCCGCTGAAGTAGCTGGTAGCGCAACCCTGGCAAAAGAAAGTCCGGCAATATTAAGCGATGATGAGCTTGAAGACATACGGCAATCTGTAGTCGATGATTACGCCATTGATAGTCAAAGTGATAGTAACTAGTTTAGTCCTCGGCATGTTATTATTAGTATTAAGTAAAATATAATATGCATTAAATTTCATTACCTTGCAAGTCAAGAAAAGTAACATAATCATGACTGGAAACGTACGAATTTTGACAGGCGGGATGAAAAACTTATATCAAATTGAAAGCCCCTCGTCTGGAAGTTAGCAGCCAAACGAAGACCTTCCCTCGAAACGCCAAAGTTCTTCAGAATATTCCTAACACGTTCCGCAATTCCAGCATTCCGCGGCCCCTGTGGGGAAGTTGAGCCCCCTTTCTTGACTCTTCTATGGGCAGGGGTTACACCCCACACCCTCCCGATAGTTCCAGCCCTGATTAAATTCAGGGCGCGAAATAACGGCTGGTCAACGGTTCAATGTACGGCCAGCTTTCCTACGCACTAGGCACGCAGTACGTCACAAGTCCATCCCATGGCTATGCTTTTGGCTTAAGAGTTAAGGCCATGCTTTTAGCGCAGTGCAAGCTGTTTTATGTGAAGGAGAAGGCTTTTTATATTGCAGGGAAAATATTCACATTTATACTTCACTAGGCTTTGCTTTAAGCTGAATAATTTGACCGAACAGAAATTCGGGATGTCCGAGCTAAAATTGAGTTGGCCCGTCACCTTGACCTGTGACCCTCCAGCCGTTATTTCGCGCTCTGAATTAAGTAGGTAAATGTTTTCGTCAAAAATATTAACAGTGTCTCATGGCTTCGACACGGCAAGCGGCAACCAGGTTAGTCTGAAAACCCACTAATTTCCTATATAACGTTTGAAATTAGCGGGTTTTGCAGGCTAGAGAGTTTCATAATCGTTGATTTCATAACTTTTCCCTGAATGTTGCGAACTTCGTTCAGAACTTCGTTCAAAACTTCTTTGTGAAGTTCAAGAATTCATACTGAAATTCACAAGCCGGTTTGTAAACAAAGCCTCTGATGGGTCCCTGAACAAAAATAAGCCAATCAGAGGCTTTGTTTACAAACCGGCTTGTACTGTGAGTTTCAGTATGAACTTTTGAACTTCACAACGAAGTTCGGAACGAAGTTCGCAACATTCAGGGAAACGTTATATGAAATCAACTCTAAAACACAAGATAACATTCCAACACGTCTTTTTACCAAAACAATTGCTGAAATATTTAACTTTTTAAAATTTTGCCAAAATATTACTAACAAATTATAAGTGCTACAGGGTAACAGTTTTCCAAAACTGACGAAATTTTATTTCCCCAGAGAGCCTGCTCGCAGGCTACTGCACGGTTTGTTTTTCATGTCTGTTGAGCGTTGATTTGTTTCAAATCTGTCAAAACATGTCAAAATTGTATTTTTAGAATGCTTGCATGCCATATATAGCTGTATGCGGGCACGTGCACTGCACGTGCTGTGCAATTACAACGGTGTAAACAATACAAAAATATTTTCAAATATATTACAGCAATAGATATAGTGTTTGAAATTAATTGCTAACTTGTTAGTTTACTTTAATACTTAAATTTTTACAATTCTTAGGTTTACTTTTCAATGAATTTAAGCGATTCATATGCATTATTTTGTGATTTTGTCATGCATTATATTTATTTATTATTTTATTCACGGGCTTATTGTCAGCCAAGCGTCGATTGTAAAATAGGAGTTTACTCCCAATTTTGGATATAGTGGGCTCAAATTTTAGTCATTAGTTTACATGCAAAACGAAAGCGCGCGCATTAAAAACAGGTTACACAACTTCGTCCACAGTTTTGTACAAATAAAACAAAAAAAAATCCCTGGCAGAGCGACCCTTATTTTAATTTCCTCAGGCTCTGCTATCAAGGTATATATGCTTATGTCTGTCATCTTAATTATTCGTGTTATTAAATACTGGTGTTCTTAATTTTAATATATTAATAAAGTTCATCATTTGAAATGATTTAGAGTCATTGCTGAGAGTACATTTTTTGTTATTCTCAGGCTAATTTAAAATCATGGCGATGTCCTCGGCTGGCTCAAGAGCTTTAGTTGATTTGTACAGTCTGTCAAAGACGAAAACGTTTACAGATCTTAGTAATATGGCCAGCCAACTAAAGAATGTTTATCCGCCCTTGAAAGTGAATACAATTGTTACTTGGACATTCCCTTCATTTCGAGCAGACAGAGTATCGGATGGTTTGCTTCCCGATTACTACAAACAACAGGACATGAAACCAATTCAAACCAAAGCGGATGGCAATTGTCTGTTCAATGCTGTAAGTTTAGCGTTGTCGGGTTCCGACAAGCTAAGTGCCGAACTAGCTTCGTGTGCGCACCGTCATTGAACTTGCAACGAATTTAGAATTTTACAAAAATCATCCAAATGTAGCCAAGAGCTGTATTAAAAGAAGAAATGAGGAATTATGGGCCGTTTCTTCCTTATATTATGCAGTAATATTTGGAGCAGTCGCAGCGAACGTTTACGAAACAATCGACTTCAATGCTGCCATACAGCAAGAGATTAAAACAACAGCATTCCATGGATCCTTCTCTGGTTTACTTCAAGTAATGGGTCTTGCATCTGTCGACGTCATAAAATCTGAAATTCATATGATATACCCACACACAAGACATGAAATGTTGAGCCTCTTAAATGGTATATACTTGCCAAGAGAATCCTCTGAATATGAAGTACGTCCAGTCATAGCAATAATGTGGACAAATTTGTCAGGTTGGCCTGATCGTTCAAAAATTTTGAATATAAACCATTTTGTCCCAATTCTTAAGATTTCAACAGGTACTTCTGATAACAACGCAGAATCAACGGACTGGTCCTTGGTAAATAATAAAAGAAGTCGTGGTACACTGAACAACGGCACTATTTATAAAGGTGAGCCTACTTCCATTCACTCGAACAGACGACCAAATAAAGAAAAGCGTCAGCGGCCCAATACTTTACCAAGGCCAAAAAAACGCAAGCAGCCTGTGGAAGATCAGAATAACGCTAAAGCCGCCAGAAAGAAATGTCAGCAACAAATTCCAATTCTCAGCCAAGACTGGTTTGAAAGGAAAACAAGACGCCTACTCAGGCATTCACTCCGCCTGCAGGCTTGCAAAGAAAATGGGGACAATGTAGGGTGCGACGGAAAAGTCAAGCCAAATATAAGCATTCAAAGACAAGTTGGTGTTCATAGCATTCAAAGATAAGTTGGCATTCATGGCATTCAAGGTTAAGTTGGCATTCATGGCATTCAAAGTTAACTTGGCATTCAAAGGAGCAATGGCATTTACACACTTCTTTGAATTTTCATAAGAAAGTGCCATAACCTATAAGAGACAGAAATAGGATATCAATTCTGACACACCAATTCTGTTTGGTGGGCCATTGTAATAATAGAGGCCCAAAAAGCATGTTTGAGTGGCTTGGTAGGTATTCTGCCCAGAGTCCTAGTAGGGTTGAATTAAATACATTAGGCCTCTTTCAAACGTCGCATTTGGCATGTGTCGAATTCAATTGCTTGAATTATATGCATGCAAAATTCGACGTCTGAAACGATTAAATGCGACGTTTTTAATTGCGGTCGACCTTAACTTTAAATTCGACCCGACCGGTCGCATAATGCGAGCTAAGTGCGAGCTAAATGCGACCTGTTTCAGACGTCGCATTTTGCATGTGTCGAATTCAATTCTGCTAGGGTCGGGCTCGCGGAAAAAGTCTGGAACGAGGTAAAAGAAGGACGGCATGTAGTGTTAATGGATCAAATTTCGCGTGTAGGACATAGAATGGTAATAATTCCATGTTTTTTTTGTGTGTTTGTGTGAAAAATAGTCAATAGCCTGATGTGAGTTTATATACAAGCGAAAATAATGTCGCGAACAAGAACATTTATACGGGACTACATATATAGTATTTTTTCGTGCTTTAAATAAGACGAGCCACGGCTTATTTCGCTGGTATATAGTCGTATACTGAATGGCCCTACTGACATCCCAGCGGGCAAAATGACGTTTATCCAACGTTGAATCAACGTTGGAAATGACCTTCCAGACGTTGGATAGATGTTGAAAAAGGGTTGACTATGCAAATTGGATCGACGTTACTGTTTCGACGTTGAAACAACGTTGAAATTAGGTTGCCAATCTCGTCAACCATAATTCAACGTTGAATCCACGTTAAAATAACGTTGAGATTGGTTCACAAATCGATGTCGTACATTTAACCATGAATGAACGTTAATCATGGGCGTACGGGAAGGAAAAAATTAGGGGGGCGGAAAGAAAACTGCCCAACTTTTCGGAATTCTGCCCGACTAGTACCAAAAAATTTTTTTCGGAAAAATTATTTGGCGACCCCCCCTCCCCCGTCGCCAAAAAATTTTCGGTCAGCGTACCATTTTAGGGGTCAAAAAAATTTTCCGGACATACAATTTTTTCCGAACATAACACAAATTTTCGAAAAATCGCAAAATTTGCCAAAAAATTGACTTGATTTTAGACAAAATTGACAGAATTTGTCCAATTTTTTTTGTTGCAAACCAAAATTGCCCGACCGTTGATCGAATATTGCCCGACTGCCCAAAAAACTGGGGGGGCTACCGCCCCCCCCCGCCCGGTACGCCTATGACGTTAATTCAACGTCTGTTGGCTGCTGTTGAACCAATGTTTGTAAAACAACGTCAGAGCAACGTAGATATTAGGTTGTCGACGTCGCAACCTTTTTTCTGCCCGGTGGGATACTGTGTTTATTTTTGAGCGAAACTTTAAAAATAAATGTCAATCTATTAATTAAAACTATCAAAGGGGCGTGTCTACACTCTACAACACATACAATTTCGAATTAAATGCATGCAAAATGCGACGTTTGAATCAAACGTCGAATTTCATTGAATTCGCTCGAATGAAATGCGAATTGTATTCGACACATGCAAAATTCGACGTTTGAACCAGACCTTACACAACACATAGTATCTATTAACACACAAGGGCAGTAGAAAGAGCAAAGCAAGCAAACCCAAGCTGGCTGTGAGTTCAAGAAGCTGACGTTTCTGTTATTTGTTAACATGACTATATATCATAGATTATATTCTTGTCTTGCAACCAATCCCTTGAGAATAAAAGAATGTGCGAATTTCAGTAAAAAATAATGAGATTCTTTGTTCAACCTCGTTCCCAGGCTCTTTGCTCTTGGGAAGCAAAGACCCTGGTCGGAGCTGGTCACGTGAACCCCCAGATTTTGGGGGTAAATTGAATTTGACCTCAGGGAGGGGTAGTAGAGGAGTTTGTTTGTTGCGTTTGGAAAATTGCAACTTTATGTGTTATAATTTCGGGTGATAAAAATGTAATTTGCAACAAGAGATTGTGAAAGGAACTGTTTTAAATTGTATCGATCATGACAAGACTTCCTGCTGTACTGTTTCATCAATAATAAGTGTTGCGGTACATTTCAAGCGAGAAGCTGGATCATATTTCACTTGCAAGGAAAACACTCCACACGCGCCTGGCTTGCGAAGTTTAGCACGTATCGCCGTAGAAAACATACATATCTTCTACACAGAATGATCGATAAAACGGTATTAAACGAACGATATGGTTCTTTATGGTTGAAGTGTATCCTGTCCGATATTCAAAACAAAAGATTTATTTTATAACGGGATCCTTTGATTTCCCAAACATCGCCAACATGTGTAAACAATAGTGCTATTTTGACTGTAAAAGCACAGGATTATTAAAAACCCGTTATGGACTGGCTATAAAATTCATTTCATTTACATTGCTGAAACTCAACAATCAAGAAAGATAATGTCGAAGTGTAGCTAGCTATCTGTTATCACACAAACGCCAAGACTCATCCGTGCGTTTCCGTGCGTGCGGTACAACTTGAATATCTAGGACGATATATATGGCGTCATATCACCGCCAATATTCATGTATATCATGCTTTCGACATTGAAGTTAAATAGGACATTCAGCACCTACGTGCTTTCGACATTGAAGATAAATCTGACATTGAACATGCAGAACATTCAACATATTTTCGACATTG